GGTGCCGCGCGGGGCGCTGGGAGTTGTAGTGCACCCCCCTGGCAGCGCCCGAGACGGACCCGCCCTGCGGGGCGCACCGCGCTGCACCTCGAGATGCGGAGCCCCAGAGCTGCCGCTTCCCCTATAAGCCCCTTTGCCTCCCCGATTTCCCGCTGTTTCCTTTTTCACAGACAGACTCTTTTCTGCCTCGAAAATCTACTACTGTGGAGCCTCCCTTACTCACCTTCCCCCCCACCCCCACTTTACCTTTGGTGCCCTGATTTCCACTCATTTACAGTCTCACTGACGTCCTGCCACACTTTTAGCTTCTCTCCTTCCTTGGAGTCTCAGACCAGCAGAGACTCCCCTGCCTGGAGGAGGGTGTTTGCTCCCCAAAGCTGCCAAAAGCCATCAGTGACACGCAGGGGTGCAGGCAGGTGCACGCACCCCCCGGGGTTGGCGATGCACCCCTGCGAAAAGCGCCGTCAATGCTGCCAGCAGCGCCTGCGGGCGGTCGCCACTCACCACCTCCTCATTGCATTGCCACCCATGGGTGGTCGCCGTGCCCCACAGCCTCCGGGGCCACACGTCGCTCATGCTAAGAACTTTGTTCCAACTGCTCAGTTGCTCTAATAAAAGAGACCAGATTCACCCAAAGAACCTGGCCTGACCATGTCCTTAGACCAACACGGCTGCAACCAAAACCCCCCTCCACACACACGCTGCTTGTGGGACAGGCCCCACGCCAGGCAGCACTGAGCTCCCAAGGGAAAATTTAAGATGGGCACAAAACACCCTCTCTCTTCCCTCCTCTCCCAGCCCTGCTCTCTGCACCTTTTTCTGGCTCAGTGAAACTCCACTGGTTTTATTAGCCAAGTGCTGCTTTCTTCTTGTGTTGTGGCTGTAAGCACAGCATTTCTTCTTAGGGAAAAAGGAAAAGCCCGTGTCCCACCCTGTCTGCAATCACACGTGCTTTCTGCTCAGGGGATGTTTTCACAAAATTAAGACACAAAAGCACTGTAGGACCCCACACACAGTTATTTGTCAAGAAAAGTATATTTAAGTGTCTACATGGCTTAAACACCTAGTACTTACCTAGGGCTCACATTTTAGTATTGCAACATGCATGTTATCTTCTAGAGGCCCAAAGTCCACGCATCAGAGAGCGCTTTCTAGACCAGGAGTTGGCAACCTGTAGTCCACGGGCAGCATCCAGTCTGCAGGCCACATCCAGCTTTCAAGAGACTTTGGATCTGGCCCATGCGGCCATGGCTGCAGTGGCAGTCGGCGGCAGGAGGCTCCCTGCACTGCCAGGGGCTGCCCTGCCACACTGCAGCTAAGCAGCTTCGTTGGGGAGGAGGCAGGGTTGCCTCCCTGCTGCAGCTAAGTGAGGGGGGGAAAGGGCAGTGGCTGCCCTAATGCCCGCTGCCTCTGACCTGAGCGAGCCCAACCGTTGCCAAGTGTAACAGGGAACCCCTACCCCTGTTACTAGGTGGGTTTGAGTGGGAAAAGGGCCAGGGATCAGGCAGCTAATGAAGCAATTAGCTGCACCTGGTACTGGGGAAAGAGAGACAAAATGTTGAATGCAGTGGCCAGAAGGGGGCTGGGTCCCTGAGCTGCCAGGCAAGTAGCTCCTGTGTAAATTGGCTGCAGGAGGTGGGCTAGTCTGTACCCAGGCAGCGCCAGAGAGCTGTGAAGACTGAGCCAAGGTAAATGCCTAGGCTGCAGGGAAGTATTAACCCAGGGTTGTGTGGAGTTTGTCTTGCAGTCATGGCACTGGCATTTAGGTTTTGGCTAGATATGCTGGTGGGTTGGGAGTGGCTATATGGGGTAATAAGGAGCCACAGACGGGTGCTTGAGGCTGTTCCTCTCCAATAAGCACCAGAAGTCAGGCTCTGAGATGCGGGAAGGACTGGGACATAGGGACTATTAAGGTGCAAGGGGCCCTAGGAAAGGGGATTGCTGCTTAGGTGAGGTCAAACCCAAGAGGGTGAGGTCTTGAACACGTAGACCCAGGTGGAGGGTGTGGTCAGAGAAGAAAAGGGGGCTGAAGCTAGGACAGGCAAGACACTGACAAGTGCCACAAAAACCTATGGGGTGTGTCCCCTCAAAGGGGTAGTATCATGAGGCAAAAAGGCCCCAGGTGTGGCCAGAATAGTTTCCCCCCCGCCAGGTGACTACAGACCCTCAAGTACCCTCCCCCCCCCCCCATTAACAATACATAAACAACATCAAAGGTGTGGCAGGAAAGTGCTGGGAGAAGAGGTAGGACTGGGAAGGAACTGGCATGTGGGGCATACCCAGACAACATCTGGAAGTCCCTGGACCACACATAAGATATTAACAGTTAGCCAAAATAAGAACAAAGTATTATATGTTGGAAGTTGTACATTGCTTGCTTCTCAAAGGTGGGGCTTATAATGTTAAGGGCACTGGTAGCACAGGGAATAAAATATATATATATACACACATGCACTTTGTGGCACTCTGGAAATCACTCTTCCCTTTGTTGCAAGGATACTTTCATGTTAGGAGGGAAGACAAGTTATTTCAAATGCAAACTTTTTATTGCTCCAAGAATGATGGCATAAAGAAGAATAAAATATTTTTGAAGAACTGCACAGATGAAATTTAAGGAAAAAAAAGTCATCAAATGACAGGAGCACATGGACTTTACTATACTGTTCCCAAACCTCTCCCATAGAAGATGTCCCATTAATTGTGTCCCACAGTCTTTCAAAAGGAAATTGCCAGAATTGGGCACTCCTGAAACCCCTAATTCCTACAGCATGTTTTTTTGCCACTATGTATACTTCTACACACATTCCAGTCTGTTTTGTGCATAAGTTAATGGAATTATGTACAGATATATGGTTTGTAAGTATCTGGGATGGGAATTGAAACAAGTCTTCATACACTCATCTATGGAATCTTCCTCTAGTCTAGCAACAAGTCTAAATAAAAAAAATTAAAAAAAACCCAGGCCAGTGCAGTTGCAGCAACCTAAAGATAAGAATCTGGACCAAAATAATTAATATTTCCAGTTCCCAGAACAGCATATTCTCGTGTGTCAAGAAACGTGTTAATCTAATTGAAATGCTAGGCAGTTTTTCCAGAAATCATCCATGTTTATTTGAGCCTCTTAAAGCCAAACAATTATATAACAGAAAACAGTTATGCTGAAGTAAGACAATTCTCTGCTATGATGCAGGAGGAAAGGAGGAATCATATCACTTCTCTTCTGAGGTTTTCCAGTTTCAGGTTTCACATTTTAAATCACACTCCAAAACACAGAGGGCTTGCACAGTGCTTTTCAACTCAACTCTAGAGCTCAAGCTCTACACAACATTTCTATAGAACAACCATCTGTAGGTCAAACAAGCAGCTGTTAAGCTTTTCTCTTTGTCACTTATGTGTGATGATGGTTTGAGGTGGTAAATTTTATTTTATTTTTTTTTTTTAAATAGGAAGTTCAGAAGGGGGAGACTTTGTTCCAACTAAGTCTTTTTCAGTGATAATACCCAGCATTTGCAAAGCACTTCCTACCATCAAAATACTTTACCAGCTACCTCCATCAGCTGACAGAAGCAGCTGAGGTAGAGAAGCAAAACAACTCATGAGAGGGAGTCACTGTTATGCTGAATTTAGAGTTCAGTCCATGGTTTTTATCTTGGGCTCAGACAAAGAGAAGGGAAAAGAGGGAACAGAAAACTTACAGACTCATCAAAACACAATATAAACATCAGGAGCAAAATCCTGGGCCTAGTGAAGTCATTGGGAAAAGAGGCCAAGACTTCCTTTTAAAGATTATATATATATATATATTAGAGGTGAAAAAATACACACAAGCTTCTTAAAGTCAAGGGAAAATGCCTAAATTATATAAAAATCTATTTCAATATGAAATGTGTAAAATATTGCACATTTTATTCTCTAGTCTCTTTTGGCAACATATGAAATTATCAGAACTCATCTTAGCAGAAACAACAGTTAAAAAGCTAAAAGTCAGCTTTCCTCCCTGTTTAATACAGTTCAAAGAAAAAAAATGAAAAAACTTGAGTTTGTAGAAAGACTGAACAGCTTTCCAGAGAAATGTACATAGCTTTTCCCTCTCAACTTGCAGTTTCAGTCAGAGGTGCTGCTGTATATATGTTCCTGGTGGGGGGGATCCTAGGCTGCTTGGTGTACTCAGAATATTTGAGTCATACGAACTTGGAGTAATTCCAAGCATGCCATCGTTCTGAGGAGTCTCTCCTTTCAAGAAGTCATCATCTTCGTCTTCAGCTGTATTCTGCGCAAAGAAAAGGCCAAATGCGAAGAGAGAGGCACTACAATGACTTGTCATTTTCACTCTTGAGTTAGATACATATTTATCAGAAAGAGTAATCAGAACTTCAAAGCAGCTTTACTAGGGTAGTGAATATTAGTGCTATAAAGCAGGATGTCAAACTCACTCCTGCCCCAGGCCAGATCCACAGGGCCAGCAGCACCTGGGGCAGGTCAGAGTTGAGGCAATGTTGCAGGTCCACACCTGTCAGGGTCTAGAAACCCCAAATTCTGCATCCTCCAGCTTCCAGTAGCCCACCAGGCTACCAGTGGATCAGATGAAACAGTTCCATGGGTCAAATGTCAAAGCAGACGATATAAAAAGGTTAACCAAATCTGAACCTGTATATTTTGACAATAAATTACCTTTTTAATGGGTGCTGTAAGGTCCTTAAGATCTTCAGCACTCAGTTCTTCCCAAATCTGATAAAGAGGATCAATATTCTTCTTTGACCTGAAAACAATACAGATGCTAAATAGACTTGAACCCAAGTAATTGTGAACTAAGCACTTCAGTTTCTACATTTCTCTAGTGTGTTTCAATGGATTATACACTTCACAGATAGATTAGTCTACCTTACAAAGATATCACTTCATTTTACAGATGAGTAAGATGTTACACAGAAGTTCAAATGGTTTGGCTTGAAAGCAGAGCATTAGAGAGAGATTCAGGCACTAAAATCCAGAACTCACAATGATGTATTTTAACCAAGTAGCTAGTAATCCCTTAGGCAAGTACAATCCTCGTCTAATTTATAACCCGCAGGCTTCTTCACACCATTTTTACTCTTTGGAACAAGGTCTCACTGCAGCCCTTATTGTGCCTTGAAAACTGTTCTTCTCACAAGAGCTACCAAGCTCATTCTCTTCATGTACTAAAGCAGCCAACATGCATAATGCCAAGTGTATAAACATTCTTGATAAATAAGGCTGAAGAGACCATTCACATCTAAAGAGGAAAACAAGCCAAATCCCCTCTTACACAAGAAGGTATAAGAAACCATCCATTGGCTCTCAATACAATGCTTTGTTGCTGAAATATTGCAAATTAACTTGTTAAATAGGAGTAGCTAAAGAAGTCTTACCTAATCTAACCTCCTACTGAAACCAGACGGATGGGAGGGTGGACCTGACATTCTACACCCTACAGTGTAGACAGACTTCAGGTTTCAAGCTTTTGGCAGTGCTAAATCTAAAAAAATCTTAAGTCACATTCTGTAGTTCCACATAATACAACAATCAGGTGCTTAGAGAACCAGGAAGGCAAATCTAATTCAGGAAATCTTGAACAGTGCCTTAAAGTATGAGTTTTCTGTAAGGCAGAAATTAGTATAGATTTCAAATACAAACCTTTTGAGAATGTAAGGATCAAAAGGAAAAAAACTATCAAGTGGATTAGTGCAAGCCTGTACAGAGTCACCGCCATTGCTGCTTCTAATGACTGGTAAAAACTGCCTGTTGTTCCTCTCAATTATGGTGTAGCAGAACACCAACTGGTACTTCCTTAAAATAAAAAAAGCAAACAAACAAAATGAAGCAGGTAAATGTAACCATTCCCAACTACATGGAAAGCAAATCATTTCAGAAGATACTAAAACTGATCAAGGTTTATTTCACTGATATCAAAATTGTAGCTCAAACTTCCCTTTCAGTTTGATGACCAACACCAAGTCTTAAACACAGTCAGAATACATTTGAGCTCACAGTCTCCTCTTTAATCCCCAACAGAAAAAAGGACTGCAATTTGTACCATCATAAAGCAATGGAGCAGTTCTTGTGAACTAGAGCATCTCACTGGATCTGACTGTGACAGGGCACCTACCATGCCTGTCACTAAGAGGGGAAGAAGCTGCTTGAGAAGCAGCCTGCAGGTGTGGTAGGAGCAAATAAAGAGTCACCTGACCAGAAGCGGGGGCTTCAAGCATATAAGTCCGGGGCCTCAGCTGGTCAGGGAGTCTAGCCTTGAGAGTCATGGAAAGAGGAGCTCCTGCGCAGCAGGGCTTCTGGGCAACACCTGAGCTGGTGGTAAGTAACTCTGGTGGTTTGTGGAAAGAAGAAAAGGGAGGTCAGGAGGTCCCAGTTGGGCCTGAAGGGAGAGAAGGAGAAGCAAATGTCAACAGGGCCAGGGAGCCTGATGGTCTCAGTGGACCCAAGATAGAGGCCAAGGCCAAAAAGCAGGGCTAAGGCCTAATGGTCATGAGAGCAAGGAGGGTCAAGGACCCATAGCCTGCAAGAGGTGGGAGGCAAAGTCAGGGACTCAGCCCAGGAGGGGTTGAGTGTCAATAGGGTCAGGGAGCCTGAAGGTCTTACTGGCCCAGGAGTTAGGCCAGAGATGGGTTGAAGGCCAAGGAGGGATACAGCCAGAGACAGGTGGGGTCAGGGGAGCTTGGGAGTCTCAACTGGCCTAGAAGCAGGGCCAGGGCCCAGATAGACAGGCCAAAGCTTGGGGGTCATGGCTGGAGACCAAGGAGCCCATACGCCAGGAGGGGCGCATATCAGCAGGGATGAGTAACATTTCATCAAAAGTGTGGCAGGTGAGGAGAAGGGGAGAGTACCCAAAGAGAAACAAACTAGACGAAGGCTCCAGAGGCATCATGGCCACCCCTGGAGTTGAACCCTGTTACACTGACCTCATTATGAGCTAGTTTCACTTAGCTTGAAATATGCATACTATTACAATTATGACATGATTTATTTTATACAATACACAGTACTTGTACAAACATACAAGTTTACAAGAAAGTTAATCTTTGAACTATTAGACTATGGTCTACGTACACAAATCAACATAAACTGTAGAAAATTTAAACTGGCAAAACAGTTACCTGGTAATGGCTGCAAACAAGTTGACAACAGAAACTAAGCAAATCTTCAGGGGATTCAGCTGACACATGACGATGCGTTCAAAATTTAAGTTCTGCAGGTATGCCAAACCTTCAAAATGAGAATTATTTGCAAATAAGTATGCAAGAGTTTCAGAGACTGCTTTCACAGATTCTTAGCTAGTGGCTCTCAAATTTGAGGCCAATCCTCAAAATTGTTCATTGGCCACCATATGCCCATATTCAATTTTTAATTGAAAATTAAATTGATTTTCATGGCTTTGTATTCCAAGAATAGAGCTGGATCAGACTGTAGCTTACACTGAAGCAGCAGACTACTCTATGCTTAGGCACAGAGGGTGCTCCTAATGCCAGGAGCATTGGAGCATACACTAGGGATACTCTAGTCACATGCCTTGCACCAGAGCTGAGGTAAAGGGACAGAACCGCTGTACATGATAGTTGATATGCTACAAAGGGACACCTCCAACAGATTAAATGCTGGTCAACTAAAGGCACTCAATAGTGGGGCTGTGAGTCTGGCCCACAGACTTTATCTGCTTTGTCTTGACTGGCTAAAGAACAAGCTGCCCTGCTGTCACGTTCCAATACAAATGTACAAGATCCTAGTTCGTTTAAAATGGAGTAAGGTAAGCATCTCAGAAGCCACTTAACTGAACCAATTACTTAAATCATCCAACACTTCCAAAGGCTGCAAATAAAATGTGTTTACATTTTCTATTACTGTCTCTTCTAACACACTCACCTTTCCTTAAGTTGCCATCTAAAAGCTGCCTATGGCGGAAAATGAAAGTATAGAAGACAGCTTGGCACGCGGAGTAAAACGGTCCATGTAGAGCTACATCACAGTAAGCATTTGTCCCTGCATCCTGACTATCAATATATCTGTGCAGCCAATTAACCAACAGGTCCAGACATGCTTTCACTGTGCTACAAGGGAATATATTTAATAAAAAAAAAAAAAAAGAGAGAGAAAAAATCAGTCTGATAGGTGCGAAAGATAAAACATGAATATTTGAGAGCTCGGTGTGCACAGTGCATACAAATGCAAGTATGGAAAGTTTTAAAATGAGATTCCATTGCCAGGGTCTTCCTCCATGACCTTTGATAACCTCATCTTAAGTCTCAACAGATATTTCATAAACAAAGTACTTGGAAAACTTCAAGAGAATCCCACAAGGAGTACGAGCATAACTCAGACATGGTTCACTGGCAGAGTGAGGACAGGGAGAAAGTGGGACTTAGTAACATTCTGCACTTTACTCCAGCAGACAAACTGTTTGCTTTAAACAAATGATATTTAAATGATCTAGCAAAACTACTTACACAATTGGAATAAATTTAGCCCTTGCCAAAAAGCTGCCAATATAATTTCCAGCGGTTTGTCTGATCACTGCAGGATTATTTGGATCCTGCAGTATCTTCCAAAGATGGTCTAAGAATGCTTCTGCAAACCCCTGCAAACAAGACAAGGTACAATCCGTTAATCCTAAGGCTAACACCATCTCTAAACAGACACCCAGTGCTGAAGCCAACTGTTTAGAGATATCCAGTAAAAACTCGCTTATCAGGATAAAAAATAGCTTCCAGGACCAAAAAAATTCCTGTAATTAATCATGACAGAGAACATGTAACATTGAGCTGAGTCCCTGTAGGCTTTGCATATTCCTCTTATTATGCTTTAAAGAAGTTCTATACTTTGTTAAATGCAAGAAATATATTAGCAGACCCAGTGGGGTTTTTTGCTTAAGAAACCAAGGGCAAGCTGTAAAAGAAAATGGTGAATGTAACAAAGATCCTGGCCTAAATAAAAGGGGTAATACATATATCAGCTCCAAGTCATTTTTAAGCCATGTAAGAAAAGCAATAATACACTGTTCCACACACTCGAGGTTCCAGTTGATTTAAAAATTCCAATCAGTTGTGATAGAACTGAATAAGCAACCTATAGTGGAGAGGTTAATTATAACAAATGTGGAGAGAGAGAAAGAAACTAAAGAAACGCATGCTAATGCCCCTTTCCACTCCCTACATATGGAGTGGAATTAGGATTTCAGTTGAATCAATGTAACTTGACAACTCCTTAAACTAAAAAAGCAGAAAAGGTCTCAAATACCATAGAAGAGGTACATTCTGTAAAGCCTATGCTGTTACTCACCAATTTAAAACTGCAGATATAAAACATGAAGTACTGTACATGACACAAAGCATGGGTTGGTAAAATTAGTTTGTCAAAGATGGTAATTAGATCCCGATATAAGCCTTTTGTATTGTTGATATCAACTTTGCCTGTAAGGGAAAAAAAAAAGATTCCAGTGGCTCTTTGCTCTTCCCCAGAATTGCAATGTGTATTTAAAGAAATTCTGCCAAGCAGATTAGTCTCCAGCCATAAGGAGGTCTAAAGACATAATGTCACAGAAATACTTCCTGATATTTGAGCTCCAAAAGATTTTTTTGTATCTATGTATACATTTGCCAGTGCCAAAAGACATGCAAACACTACAATACTATGTCACTGAAGGACAGTGAAAAAGTGAATAGGTAGCTTAATATTATCAGAGCATGGGAGGAAAGGGGGAAAAAAATCAGAGAGTAAATCTGATTTTTAGACATTCTTTCTTGTTAAAAAAAAAAATCTACCAGGTTTAATATCAGAAGTTTAAGTACAGCTGTCCATCTACCGTTGTTCCTTTAAGAGACAAAAAGTTAGGACTTTCCTTTACATTTCAATAAAGAAGTAAAATTTGTTTTAACTAGTGATTAGTAGGGCTGTGCGAAGCTTTGGTCGCCGATTTGATTTGGAGATTCGGCCCAATTCAGTGGCTGTATCTCCGAACTGAATCAGGAAACCCTTTAATCTCTCCAAATTGAATTGGAACCCTCCGAATCAATTCGGAGATTCAGAAAGATTCGACGATTTGGACAGACACAGCTTTAAAATTTTTTTTCTACATAACCTCAAGGTACCAGGAGGCTCGTGAATGCTGAGATGGTGGGGCAGATACAGCGTCTCACAGGAGAGCGGGGGGACCCCCAGTGCACTTGGCAGCAGACCCAGAAGTGGACCAGAAAGAACTTCCGGTTGCACTTCCAATCCACTTCCAGGTCTGCCGCGGAGCGCGTGTGCACCCCACCCCGCCCAGCAACTGGTTCCGGTCCACTTTTGGGTTCGCCGCCAAGCATGCCGCACTTCTGTGGGATGCTCCATCCGCTGCAGCATTGCTGAGCTGTGCCTGGTACCTCGAGGTATGTAGAAAAAGCATTTAAACCTGCATCTATGGTCGAATTGCTGATTCTCTGAGTCAACACTGAATCTTCAGATTCAGATTTGGCCGAATCAAAAAGGGACAGTGATCCGAATCAACGAACTGAATCACTGTCCCCGATTCGGGCCAAATCGAAATCTGAATCAAATACGGCTCATTTCACACACCCCTAGTGATTAGGTGGGGTTGTCTACCTTGTATATACAAAATTGTAAAAAGGAATCTAATCATTCTGATTATCAAAGTGAATACCGAAGAAGCATCAAACATTAAATCTTACTTATGACTCCTCAGCAAGTTCCTGAAGCACACAACATTCACCTTAAGAAAACTTTACAGTGCTGATACAAAGCAGCTAAGGGGCAATATATGCCCCATATGTGTATGCGTGCTCACTCTCTCTCTCTCGCGCTCTCTCACACACACACACACACACACACACACACACACACACACACACACACACAATTAGATGAAAAACAGGAAGGGTTCAAAATGACAGATTATGAGAGATTTCCCACTTTTGGTTGTTCATGCTATTCTGGCAAAGAGGCTGGAAAGCCAATAGATCTCCCCACATGAGGAAATTCCCACTGAAAAAGAAAACAGTAGCTCCTACATTAACTCTCACATAGTACCTGGTATAAGGGACATGTCAAGCTATGAACTGAGCGCTAATGGGAAATGCGCAAGAGATGACTCATGGAAGTGAAGTAGCATTCTCAGCTAGTGCAGTAGCTTCTTGGTGACAAAGCTAATTGCCAGATTTTAAAATATTATGAGGCCAAGAACAGGAAGCCAAAGCTGAGTCTTTGCATCATTCTTCAACTGTGGTTATGTTAAGATGTGGGATACAGCTGAAAATCTAATCTATGTATGCTGCTGGAAGAATAATTCTACAGATGACAACCAGATTCTAATGGTCCAGTCCTGCAGTAGCAGAACTCTCCTCATGTTTACTTGGGGAGTAGGGGGGAAGGGAAGGAGGGAAAGGGAGGAGGAAACAAGTATGATCCATACTTTATTACCATTGACATAGCAGACCTCTTTTATATAAGCAAACAGAATGGTCATCAAAATATCCAAGCGTTCTGCTAGAGGATGGGCCATCACATCACTCTCACTGGAGGCACCTTGGTTTTCTTTTTCTGTTTCTTCATCTTCCTCCTGTGAGATAATGCAGCAATGAAGGATTTCTCTTGCATACCCCAAAAACCCCTAACTTTCTCTATTCTCGTCATAAAGTTTAGTATTATGGATACAATTTTAAAAAATAATCACTGTACAAATGCATACAATGATCACTGCTTTATTGACTATGGGCTTATGCTTTGATCTCTGCATTAGAATAGATATGTATTTGGATTCATGTTTGGTGTAGATTCCTTTCCTTTAAGAAAACATATTGGATATGATGAGTAAATCTCAGACACAATGAGTAGACTAACAATGCAATTGTTTTCAAATATTTACTTTTTCTACTAAGTTTCCAAAATTGTACAAGCTGAATTGGACTTAATTTTTAATGGAAATAAACCACACAATGTCAGCCCACCGTTTTATCCTGAATTGTAGATTTTCTTTGGATTTAGTTTTCTTTCAACAGAAGATCAGTGTTGTTTAAATGGAAACTGACAGTGACAATACAGTACCTGGTATTTTCTCTTTCAATGCCTTATCCTAATAACATCAAGTATTAGGAATGGGAAAGGAATCAGGGTTCAAAGACAAAAAGCTAGTTAAGCTCTAGGTGTTATTTAGAGTTCAATGGAGAATTGTAACTTGTTTCTGCAGAAGATTTTGACATCTGATTTAACTCTAGTTAAAAACAGAATTCCAAAATTGTCTTGGCTCTGCCAGGAGCTTCCCTAATCTGCCTGGTTAAGAGTCAGGCAACTTGAGGAGCCAGGTATTCATAGACTCATAGATGTTAGGGTCAGAAGGGACCTCTATAGATCATCGAGTCCGACCCCCTGCATAAGCAGGAAAGAGGGCTGGGTCTAGATGACCCCAGCTAGATACTCCTCTAACCTCCTCTTGAAGACCCCCAGGGTAGGGGAGAGCACCACCTCCCTTGGGAGCCCGTTCCAGACCTTGGCCACTCGAACTGTGAAGAAGTTCTTCCTAATGTCCAATCTAAATCTGCTCTCTGCTAGCTTGTGGCCATTAGTTCTTGTAACCCCCGGGGGTGCCTTGGTGAATAAATACTCACCAATTCCCTTCTGTGCCCCCATGATGAACTTATAGGCAGCCACAAGGTCGCCTCTCAACCTTCTCTTGCAGAGGCTGAATAGATCCAGTTTCTCTAGTCTCTCCTCGTAGGGCTTGGTCTGAAGGCCCTTAACCATACGAGTGGCCCTTCTCTGAACCCTCTCCAGGTTATCCGCGTCCCTCTTGAAGTGCGGCGCCCAGAATTGCACGCAGTACTCCAACTGCGGTCTGACCAGTGCCCGATAGAGGGGAAGTATCACCTCCTTGGACCTATTCGTCATGCATCTGCTGATGCACAATAAAGTGCCATTGGCTTTTCTGATGGCTTCGTCACACTGCCGACTTATGTTCATCTTGGAGTCCACTAGGACTCCAAGATCCCTTTCCACTTCCGTGCCACCCAGCAGGTCATTTCCTAGGCAGTAGGTATGCTGGACATTTTTCCTCCCTAGGTGCAGTACTTTGCATTTCTCCTTGTTGAACTGCATTCTGTTGTTTTCTGCCCACTTGTCCAACCTGTCCAGATCTGCTTGCAGCTGTTCCCTGCCCTCCGGCATGTCCACAGAGATCTCAGTATCTCTGAGAGCTAGCACTCACAAACAGCCAAGAGCCTAGAACCCATGGTTGGCCATTAACAGTCCATCTAGCAGTCTCAGCAGAAATCTCACTGGGTGTCTGGGAGACTTTCACTGAGATCAAATTGGACCTTCAGAATGTTGCTGATCTGTCAACAGTGACATTTCCAAATAGAATATTTCAACTACATTATTCTGACTATCTTTAGTGGTGGTGATTTGGGTGCTGTGTTTCCCCATTAAGTAATTACATTTGTACCTATTAAAATAATGAAGAGGTCAAAAAGCACAATTTAGTTGAAACTTCAACATTTTCTGACAGTCTGGTTATAACGTAACAATATTTTATCCCCTTAAGGCTGTGTATCATTGCCACTTAAAAGTATTACAGTAAGTTTTCTTAATTTTTATTTTAAAAAATTAGAAGTAGTGTCATTAAGACAGCCAACCATGTCAAAAAGTCCTTCTTCTGTGGTTTTTTCCACACTACCAGGAGCATTAGCATTTTCTTCAGCATCCTCAATATCCTGTCGTGGTGTGCTTACCTATATATAAAGATAAGAAATCAGTTTTGTTGGTATTTCTTTTTAAAACAAGTTTGGGAAAATGTAAGCACACTATTTTTTTAAATCTGATATTGGTGACAGTATGATTGTAGCATTTTGGGTCTAAAAACCTGCCTTTGTTCACATTTCCATGGCATAAAGGAGTAACGTCAAATACCATACATATGTAAAACTATAGTTTAGGATGGAAATTCAGCCTCAAATGATAATTTAAGTGGCTCAATCTTAAACCAACAACCGACTGTATTTAATATTACGCCTCAAGAAAAACTAACAGTCACATCATAGCTGACATTTAAGAAATAGCAATATTTTAAAAAGTGATTCCACACTTACATCCAGCTTCAATAGTTTTTCAACTATAAGTTCCAGAATTCCAAGTCTCAGAGTTGGAAGATACACAGTAATTCGCAGCAAGTTATGAACATAATATTCCTGTAATACATCATCATGAATTGTTTTTCATTGTTAAGGGAGTCTCATTTATTGTAATTTCTAGAATCCCTGAAAGGAGCAAAACTAACTACAGAAGTACCGAACCAATAAACACAATTATCTAAAGTTCTGAAGCAGAAATGGAAGTTGAATATATTACAATTCATTCTAAAGAATGGCTAAAAATAAGTTAATGCATAACCCAAAACATCATCATGCTTAAGTGATAGGATTTCATATTAATAACCTCCCTCCATTTATTTTTCCCATTATCCCCATCCCAATCCCAGTTGCCCTCTCAAGCTTCTAGGTCTAAGTTTCCATGGATCCTTCCCATCAGTGACTGAAATGTTTTGACTGAAATTTTCCAAAAACATTGCCTGAAGCAGGCAACCAGCAAGGAAGATTCCTATCCAATGATTAGTTTCTCAACATCAAGAACTAAAGAGAGGGCATTTTAATGAAAACTCTTAATAATTAGTAGTGCATTATATATATATGTACTAATATAAATGCAGGAAGCTATAGATGAAAAATGCATCATCCTTGTTGAAATTCCCCTACAGTATCCAAATCAGGATAGATTCTTTTGTATGCTGTGTGAGAGCTACTGCATCTGTATGGAACTCTGCAAGGAATCAATTCTAAATCTATAGTATTTTTCTAATACTTATACATTTTGAAAACAGATTCATGGTTCTTACCAGGGTATTTTCCGATTTATTAATGAAGGGAAAGTTTTCCACAAGTATTGGCATAAGAAACAACGGTGTTCTGCAATAAAGAAGATAACAAGAACTTTACCCAAAACAGGAAAAAAAAGCAAGTACACATGCTGAAATTTCCCCAAGCAGCAAACTAAGCCAGCAGACAATGTATAACAGGTAGCAGTAGGGAGACTTCTTTGCATGAAACACCAGGCAGTATGGGGCCCAATTTTCCTTTGATTCAGTATATCCCATGGTTTGATTTGTTCCAGAATTAACAGGGTTGTAACTACTGATGCTTAGAAATTACTGAAAATTTTGAGTCAAATAGATGCATCATTCCAAAGCTGTTATATTAAAAAGAAGCCTCAAGTTAAATGTTAGTATTGCTCACCCAGTTAGCTTAAAGTTTGTCAGTTGGTAAACAAGCTATGTATTAATTGAAGGACAAACAAAACACTGTGGGATGCTATACTTACAAAGGCACATATCTTGCTACAGTTTGCAGTGCTCTGTGACATGCTTTAAAGTTTCCAGAAAGGTCTATGAAAAGAGAAAAAGTTAAGTACAATTAATTACCTTAATCAAGTTAGTCAGTGTAAGTACTTTCTATTAACTATCCATTTTTAATTCACCTAGGAAATTACATTTGCCAAAGTTATTTATCTGAGCCAAATCTCTTTATTGCCAAAAAAAAGTTTACACATAAATACTGAACTACTGTCAAAACAAGCTAATATTACATCCCCCACAACACTGATTTTCAGTTATCTGAGGTCTGATTAAATGCTAATGAAGTCCCACATTTTACCGACAGATTATTTTCTTTTTTAAACTACAACTTTTGTAAAATCTTGCAGACATGAGCATCTATAAAGGTATGATGCAGCTGATTTCACTCACCATATGAGTGGCCGCACTGCTTCCAGAACTTGCGTGGCCACTTCTCAAAGTGGTGTGGACACTTTCGCAAGCGGCCCCACTCCCCGGCCAGCACTCGCGGGGGGGGCACTGGTGTGCCCGCCTGCCCGCCAGCTAAATGGGGAGCGCAGCCAGACAGGGAGTGCACCAGCGCTCTCAGGGGGTGCACATGCACCCCCTACGCGTCACCCCTGGCTACAACAACCAAAAAAAGCTGAGAGTCAATAAGGTTGTTTCTCCTTTTAAATCAGTGCCAATCCAACAGGCAACCAATATAATGGTACACAACCCTAATTAAAATGGTTTTAACTACCTGAAGGGTGGTTCCAAAGAGGTTCCCAGTAGTTGCAGATGACAGAACAAGGAGCAATGGTCTCAACTTGCAGCAAGGGAAGTTAAGGTTGGATATTAGGAAGAACTCTCTCTCTAGGAGGATGGTCAAGCACTGGAACGGGTTACCTAGAGAGGTGGCGGAATCTGTCTTTGGAGGGTTTTAAGGCCCAGCTGAACAAAGCCCTGGCTGGAATGATGTAATTGGGGATGGTGATGATTTGAGCAGGAGGCTGGACTAGATGACCTTTTGAGGTCACTTCCAACCCTAATTTTCTGTGATTCTATGATTCTAAAATATTGCTAAAAGTTGTCTTCAACCTTTATATCAATACTATTTAGTAAAGGACTTAAGATACTGAAAAAAAACCAAATCTACCTGAATAAAATTAACAAATGTAATTCCATATCATGACACTAAAGCTTTGAATAGAAAGTCAAATTTCCCAAGCATTCACCTCAAAGGATTTGGAAGCAGCCAAGGCCAGGTGATGATGCACTTAATTTCAATAGGAGTTATGTGCATTCAAGTACATGGGGTCCTCCTACTCTTCAGCATGCATGGGTTCATGCAGATTTTGTACCAATACAATTACATTACAGCAGCAATGAAAAGTTCTGCATAAAGGAAGCAATACAAATAGCAAACCACACTGCTTGAGTACTCACTTTCTTCATCATCATCAGAATCTGAAAAATCCACACCATCTTCCCTTACGATTACTTGAGCTGTTAGGAAAGAGAACTATTAGTGCATAACTAGAAAAAGCGTAATGATGACAGCTACAAGTTAAAGCATCATCAGAACAATATTTTCACCAGAACTACCTGGTGAAAACCCACAATATCTAAATTACATCAAAACAAGAAAAGAAGTTTTCTTCTACTCAAGAAGCCAGAAAAATTTTACATGCTGTTATCTAGTTTTAAGCTAATTTCTTATAAATTTCTTAAAAAATTTGACCTTATACAAATTCTCTTACTCCAAGTTATTTTAGTAAAAATAGTGTGAATTATCCCATTTAGAATAGAACGAATTAAAAACTTACAAGGTACAAAATGTGAGACAATCATGCGGAGGCAGGGTCTAAGATAGATACTTTGTGCTGATACCAGGTTACCCAGAAAATCTAAATATTCCTCCACCACATCCTGGCTTCTTCTCAACCATGGCAGCTTCTGCAGGCAGTTAGAACAATGATGTGAAATATACAGACATTTTGAGATTAAACCTTTATTTCTATATATTATGAGTGGCTACTTACCAACAAAATGCTGACCAGCTCCTCCACATCTTTTGTCAAGTATACAACAGAAGCGCGGAATTCATGCAACCAGTTAATGATCTGGGCATCCTTATATAAGCAGACAATAAAGTAGAGCAATTGCATTAATATAAAAACCTTTAAAACCCAAATAAACATGAGAATTATGATTAGGGAAGCAGTTTCTACACCAGCATGTTAGGAATGTCACCCACCACCCTTCCTCCTGCACAAGGCACACCAATACCAGAGTGGAGAAAGGCAGAAATTGCAAATCCACCCATAGTTGCTGAACACAGTTCTCTTTCAAAATCCAAGATGAGTGGATTTATCACACTGAACATAATAGCTAAGTAAGGGAACTACGTAGTACTCTAGACACTCCTTGTAGGTCCTAAATCTAGTCCCAGTCCTCCCAGCCGCTGGGCACAAGGAACCCTTGGATGTATCACCTATCTGTTCTCTACAAGGAAGCAACGTTGTGCTCCAACTGTCAATTAGTTGTTCCTAAAGTCCTTTGCCTGAAAGAAAAAAGCCTGACAGATCTTATTCCAACCATTCTCCTTAAATAGACGTGGGCACATGCCTGTGATCCTATTCCAACCTTCTCAAGCCTCTGCAAAACAGTTACTGCAAAAAATGGACAGATCTTGTCTCTTACCGATTTTCTCCAACTTAGTCATACAACTAAGATGATGGCATGTACAAAAGTAAGCAAGTTAACACTTCTTCAGAGACTTGAACAAGGTCCAACAGGATTACACTTGGAATAGGTAGAATAGGATCACTCCCAAGTCTGGAGCAGGTGCTGAACTGAAAGGATTAATTTAGAATTATCAGGGAATTGCCAGGGAAACGCAGCCTAACACTCTGTGGTCTGGAAGGAATGGAACATAAGCTGCCACCTGAAGAAATGTAATAAGGGCCTGACTCCAAGCGGAGTGCTCTCAAAGAGGCGAGGAGGGATCAAAGATGTAGCTGATATGGAAACTGACAAGACTTCTGTCACTGCAAAGTTAACACAGAGCAAAGATATCTGAAAGATAAGAAACCCTGCCTGAAACCTGATCAAGCACCAAGAAATCTATTTGAGGGGGGGTTTTAAAATCATGTTTAAAACACAATGGCCACACTTTGCCACATAATTAAATGTACTCCCATGAAACAACCACAACTATCAGAATCCCCCATTGCAAAAATGTCTCACCTTTATATCCGGATCTGACAGCTGATGCTTTAACAACTCAAAGTCAGCAGTTTCTCCCTAGAGTGAGTGTGAAGGGGAAAGAAAACAGAGGCACATTCGGTTTCCTGCGATCCTGGAGCACAGCTCGGGCCCTGCTACCTAACCCATTTGAAACGCAAGCTTCAGGACAGCTTGGAAGACCCCTGGCAAAAACCAGAAAAGCCATAAAATGGCAGCAAGAGTCGCAGTTTCTCTCTCCCCTGCTGCACTACTAAAGTCTGGCTGGTGTTTCTCCAGGGGGCAATTCCCTTCTGCCCAATCATTCCCTACGTTTCCTCAGAGAAGCCGGATGAAGCAGCCCGCCAGCACCCCCGGGACCGAGGCCGATGGGGGAGGGAGGAAGAAGCAGCTTTTCATCACCCCCGAGACAAGCCCAGGCGCCGTCACCTGCTCGTGCTTCAGCAGG